ATAACATGTACACTTGATTCGATGTAGTGGGAAGTGACCCTTCAACTCTGAAGTCTTCCTTCAAAGACCTCATATATACTAGTGTTGATCCCATACTAGTGATGAGAAAAATCTCAAATTCCAAATGAGAGCATCTAGAGCATACCTGATCGTTATGACTCAAAACTGTTGTGGTCATCAGATCAAGCAAAGTCTAGGGGAATGGAGAGGAGGGGAGGAGAACGAAGGGCACAGGAAATGGGTACTGGGAGTATTGGTGGAGGGTGAGTGAAGCCTGTCCCCAAAGTTATGTCAATACATAGATGAATGACAAATCAATAAAAAACAAGTTTAAAAACAAACAAAATATCTAGCAAGGTCTGTGGAAGTATCACAGCCAAGATGAGCCTAAGGGGGCATGACAAATTTTCTTATGGTATGTTGGATGGAATTCTGGGAGAAAAATAAAACTAAGTAAAAATTAAGGAAACATGCAGAAATAATGTACTTTCCTTAATACTAATGCAGTCAATAATGGCTCATTAGTTGTGACAGATGCCCTGCAGATGTGCTGTACTACAGTAAGATATCCCTACTGGGGGACAGCAGATGAGAGCTACCTGGGAACTCCCTGTACTATCTTCATTATTTTTCAATATTTATAAAACTGTTCTAAATTTAAAATTAAAAAATCCAAAGTTACAAATTAGTGCATAATGGGAACTGTTACTCGTGTAAAGAATCAATGTCTTGGGACCTCCCTGGTGGCCTAGGGATTAAGTTTCAGTGTTGTCACCTCTATGGCCTGAGTTCAATCCAAGGCCAGGGAGCTAACCCACATATGGCACAGCAGACCTCTCCTCTCACAACTACTGCTCCCCTCAGCAGTGTATTTCAGTTACTCTGCCTGTTCTGCTCCCCACTCTGTTTCTGGTGGATCCTCTCACCTCCTGCACCTCTGGCCTACACTCTAGTTCTTCTATGTAAAAATAAAAATCCATATCTTGCAAATACTGGTACTCAGAGGCTGACTTTAGTATAGAAGCTACAATATGAAAACAATTTGGAATATTTCTACATATCCAAATGGTGAAATTTATGTTATAAAAATTTTACCCTGTTCACAACTTGATTTCTTTAGTATATTTTGCTGTTCTTACACTGATGCTCTAATAGTTTTATGATTTAATATTATCCAACAAAATTTTATAACTGAAAATTCTGTCATGATTTGAACTTTGTTCCTGGGTTAATTACAAAAGGTTAAATTGGTAAAAAATAAGTAAAAATTATCAATGAGAAGGACAGGTGACATGAAGTAAACATGCTGTTGATGCTGACAAATCTGGGTACAGTTGTTTAATATGGATCATCTGTTACAGTAAAATATTTTACAGTAGGGGAGGATTGCTACCATTTACAATTTGTGCATTGTTATTATATCCCCAGGAGCTGTAGTCTCCCCACTTTGATCAGCTGTACTTATACGATGCAGGGATGGTCATGTTAGAAAATTATTCATGAACTCCTCTGATCTTACAAGTGGTCTTCTCACCTCTTCTGAACCCAGTTTTAAAGAGTTGTCTATAGCCTCTGAGAAAACTGGGTTTGGGAAAAAAAGCAAATTTATTAAATCAAACAGTCTTTGTAAGCTACATAGTTTAACTGTGATTGATGTATATAAATACAAATATTCCACTTCAGGCTGTTCTGTGTTGATATTTTTTTGATAGTTTCACTTTGGAATTGATTGTTTTATTAAAGAGTTTAACTTCAAAATAAAGCACAAATCCCCACTAATAAAATCCTAGCATATGCACCTATGATGATACAAACACAGTTTTGAATGCTATACCATGATGTTTACATATTTTCTATACTCATGCATCCAATCAACATATGTTTTTTAAATATCTACATGCCGAGTAATTTTCTGGTGCTGAAAATACAGCAGTGAGCTAAACCAAGTTATTCCTTACCTTTATGGAACACACATGTTAAGTACAATCTATGAATAGAAAGTTGGCAACAGCATTAATTTGTTAGGTAAGGACACTCTATTAGAATATAATCAATCAAAAAGATGTTAACAATGAAGTAAAGTGATGAAGAATATTGAGGACAATAGTTACAGTATATAATTCAATAAATATGCAGTGATGACAGTAGTGCAATTCAAGATTCAAGATAACTCATAAAGATACTACCGAATGAAGTACATTAAAAATCTGTCTTCTTTAATCTTTTGTTAGTATTCTACTTCACTCACTTTATTATTTTTCTATAAACACTACAATGAACTAGGAGCCCATAGTTTACTTTTCCTTGTTTGCATATCTTATGAATGCTTTAATCACTGTGATGAAAATGGCATGAATTTCCTTTACTAAGAAATCTGTAGAGACTTTGAACCAATGCCAAAATAGTTCTGTGAGAATTACAAATACAATTTTCATGGAAGTAAACAAATTAATTTCAAAACTACAATTTTGAAAATATTACAATTTTGGTTTTATATGCATGTTGTATGTGTTCTGTTCTACTATGAGAAACTTTATGGAGCTGGACATATTTAAAAAGAAAGTTAAGACTGAACATATTCACCCTCTGAACCTGAATATCACATAGGTCTATGGTTAAAAACATAAAAGTAGTCTTCTTCCTGGTCCCTTATTTAGGTTTTCTAAATTCCTGCTATGCGTGAGACACTATTTGGGGGTGGGGGGGAGAAAAGAGTAGGATCAAAACGGGGGTGGGGGGTGGGAATTGTATGGGGACAATAGCCAAAATGAAAATGCATACATTGTACAAAAATGAAAAATGATGTAAAAATATATAAAATTAAAAAATAATAAAAAATAAAAATATTAATAAAAAAGCATAAAAGTACACGTATTAAAGTGCCAAAGTCATTATCACCTATGATGGATTTATAAAATACTGGACACTCTCTTACAGATTATTAATTTCATTGAAAGCCATACTTCATTCTTGAGTTCATAGTTGAGTCTGTTGACATAATGAAATAATACAAAATGTGCTTCCCTTTCTAGTCAGTCATAAGCATGCTTGTTATTTATGTCATTGGAAATCCAGTGTATAAAATTATTTTCATTTAAATTTATATTTATATCATAAACTTTTAAATTCATGATGATACCATACCTCACATTGTCTTTTTATTGTCTGCCCACAATTTCAACTATTTATTTACTTGAGTTTTCCTTTTGTTTCAAATTTATAAATTATCTGCAATTAAAAAGTTTGTACACTATTACTTTGATTTTTTTAATAATTCTATACATATTTATTGCACCCTCCCTATTCTAGATACTATTCTAAGTCTAGGGAATCAACTGAAAATATTATAAATGATATTTCTACCCTCATAAAAATTATATTCTACTTGACACAATTGAAAAAACATGTAATTTGTAAATCAGATACTACAAATATAAAATCTAAGGAGAAAAAAAAAAAAAACACTGAAAAATCAGTGGGTCTGATGAAGTAAGGGACCTGCAGGTGAGAGTTGGTTGCTTGAGTCATGGAGTAGATGGGAAAGGTCTCTATGAGAAAACCAGAGAGGAAGCGAGCCCTGGAGAAGTCAGGGCAAAAATCCCCCCTGGATGATGGAATTCTGAATACAAGCTTTCTTTGATAGGAGTGTGTCTGAAGTGCTTAAGAACAGAGACCCTAAACAGAGCCACTGAAGAGCTGTACCAAGAGGGAAAGGCAGAGAAGATACAGCAAGCCAGAGGTGTTGATCCTTGAAAGTAGACATATTTGTGTTTTACTCCTGGGTGAGACATGGAGGCACTTGAGACTTTTGAGCATAGGAGTCACATCTGTTCTCAATGATCAGCCTATTCCCCACCCCACTTTTCGTATTACTGTAGGGCCCAACAAAAACTTTTAAATTTTCTTCTTGCTATCTGTTATTCAAGTGGTACCTCTGATTTGATTATATTTTGAGGGGAATAAGAGAAATAAAAGATAGATAGATAGATAGATAGATAGATAGATAGATAGATAGATAGATAGATAGGTAGGACCAGTCTCTAGGACTGATATATTTTCCACTTTTATATATATTTTATGCATATTAGCATATTATATATACTATGTGTTGTATGTTATTTCCATCTTTCTATACATAAACACACAAAACACATGTAAATCTTTCATTAGTATATAATAATCTTACCTGTGTCTTTTATAAAAGCTGAAAACTATAAAAATAATTTTCTATATCAATTTTCTATATGAGTTTCAACAAACTGATACAAATATATGCTAAATCAAATAGCCACATGTTTGTGAATTTAGAATATGCAGACATATGTGAAATTGCTTATATATATATTTTTTGTTTTAATCACTAAGTAAGCATTTAATAAACACTAACAGATATCCAGAAACACCACAAGCACATAAGTTGTTGGGACTTTTAATAAAATATTAGGGTGATATGGATGTGAAAAAAAAATTCTTGTATTTGGTGTTTTCAAAATATACCACATATTTATTATACTAACATTTTGGAAAGAAAACTATATTAATATATTAATTCATTAATGATTGTAACACTTGCATGATTTCAAAAACAATAAATTAAAAAAAAAGCCTTAATGTGGAAATGTGGTAATGTAAATATTTTGGTAATGTAAATGTTAACAAAAGTATTAGCAGAAATGAGCTATAGAATATATAGCCCATAAATTTTAGAAACATAGATGATAAATAAGAACATCAAAATGTTGACTAAAAAGTAATATAGTTCATTTTTCTTCCTACACTTTTTTGGAAAATGTGGACTTAAGATTCTGTGTGACTATAATTTTTGTATGAGAAAAGTCTGTAAAAACATATATAAAGTAAAACTACTTCCAGGTTAAAAGAAAATTTAATGTATTGTAATATTTATTGCAGTACATTTCAAAAATGCCAATATTCATATATACAACTCTAATTTCAGGGCTTTGTTACTCATGCTACTCTTTATTTATACTATTTTGCAGCCCCCTCTCCAGTCACCAATGTGAAAAAGGGGAAGATTTCAAAGAACAGCATCTCTCTGTCTTGGCAAGAGCCAGATCGTCCCAATGGAATCATCCTGGAGTATGAAATCAAATATTTTGAAAAGGTGAGATTAACAGAATAAAGAACATCCTTTCTTCCTTTTTTTTCACTTTAGAAGTTGCAATTATCTAATTTACAAAAAAGCATGCTGCAATTTTATGCGTAAATCAATGACAATTGATTCTGCAGTTGTGATTATGGAGCCTGGAAGTGTACAGGGAGCACTCTACTCAGCTTTTTCTGCTGCCAAACAGTTTAGGCTACCGGAATACCACCATATCATCTAACATCAGCTTAACTAGCTTTTACAGCATTAAAAGATGAAGTGATAGGACATCCTGAAAATGCCACACTTAGGTTGTTCACCTTCAAGAGTGACTATTCTTTACTGCAAGAAAAAACACAGGTGCTTATGATCAGTAACCCTGCACAATACCTATGCTGTTAAGGAAGTACAGACAGATGTGCCTGTAATATATAATTATTTTAAATTAACAAAAATCTACACTACTATTAACTATTTTTTTTTAATTTTAGGAAATAAAATCAGAAATGTGTCTCACATTTTCTATATTTTATCAGTTTTCTCTCCTTCCTAGAATTAACTATAGTAATTAAGAATTTTGTCATAATAGTTGTTGCAGTACAACAATCACCCAAATTACTCTTTCCTAATCCACAAACAAGTGAATTATTGATAAAGAAAGATGGAAAATAAAGATGGGCCTAAATTTCTAGATGAAGTGTGCTGCATATAATATATATATTTTATATATATATATATATATATAGTTGCCATGCATATAATTGCCACGGGTCTTTACAAATAGCAACCCCATTTACTGTGATCTTGTACAATTACATACAACATTTAGAACAACTTAAGTTCTGATAGAACAGATATACTTAGGTGCCCAAACCAGACTCAAAGTGGAGGTATTAGAGATTCTGACCCAGATGTGTTTATCTTGTGGAAGAGTAGAAAGGATCTGCTTCTTTGCATAATGAAGAAATGTGCCCAGCCACACCTTTCAATTGATTCTTCCAAGCTCACAGAAACCAGTTCTCTATTAGAGAAGAATAAAGACAGTGGGAGAAAGTTCAAAAAGCTTTTTCTGCAATGCCTAAGAAATTGTCCCAGCTAGGATACTGGTAAAGAAAGGGGAAATATTGGTTTTTAGTGTACTACTGGAAAACTATTACAACAAATATGGATATCCTATTAAAATTACTTAAAAATCCAGCATCATCTACATAGCAAAAAAAAAATAGATATATAGATAGATATAGATATATGCATGGAGAAAAGAGATTAGGTAAACACTGAAATACAGTGAAATAATTCATTACATTATGAAAATTAAAAAGTAATTTTGCATCTTTCATTATTGATTCAATTATTTGTAATTATTCAATTACAATAGTGTAAAGTCAGGACTGGACACGGTGCAAGTTTCCTGATCCCATGCAGACTGGGCAAAGGAGGAGTCAGAGTCCTCAGTGGTTTTTTGCAGGTCTTTTATTGGGGTTCACCAGGCATATGGCAGGCAGGGGTGCTGCCTAGTCTTTACTAGCAAGTCTTTACTCTATCTGGGCTCTCTGGCATTGGTTCTGCTGCTTCTCGGCTTCTCTTTCGGCTTTGGCTTCGGCTTCTACTGCTGCTGCTGGCGTCCCCGTGATGCCGCCCTTAAAAAGCACAGTCTTAGCTCAGCTGAATCCCATCTACCTATGCCCACACCCTATTCCAGGTGCCTGCCATCAGGCATGCATTCAGGACAAGGATCCATCATCTATCCTGATGGCGGAAGGGCAGAAAAGCCTGATATTTTCTTTACCCTACAGTCCACCCCCCCAGGGTTTTCTGCCATATAGTCTATACATATATATACAATTTTCTAAGCAAACAAACAATGCAGCCATGGCCCACAAAAGAAAATACATCAAATATAACAAAATACAATATAACAAAATACAACAGAACACAAATAAGTCCAGGCAGGGCACCAACCTAGTGCAAAAGACAATTATTGGTACCAGCAGATGAGCCGCCAAATCTGCTGCTGAAGGCTCTGCTCATACGAGGGAGGGGAATCACTCATGACATCTATTGCAACACACCAGGAGCCGTCAGGCTTCCTGGACTTCTCTGGCTGTAGTCTCGGCTACAAGCCACATACAGCATCCACCCCCAGGATGCACTAGCTCTGGGATTGGCAATTTTATTTTGTTGGGGGTAATCGCCAACCCTCAGGGTTTCTGTCTGCAGTCGCTCCAACATTCGGCTTTCATGGCCACCCATGCGACTCGCAGACCCCTGCACTCAAGCCAACCCACTGCACAAGCACATGGGTCAGGGATCCAAACTCTGTATTCGGCTTGGGCTCCACCCCAAGCCACGTTCCCCACCCGTCCCCCAAGGACAGGTTCCTCAGCTCCTCACCCTCACTCAAGAATGAGCAGGGCATCACCCACAGGTGATTTTATGAGACTCACTGTTCTTCAGCACACTAAGGCTGCTTAACAGCCGCTTAGGGCTTCTCAACTTAGCATCAGCACCAGCTTTTGCCTTCTTAGTTGGCTTTTCTCTTCCACCTGGCTGCTGGGCATAACAGGCTGCCCTTGGCCATCTAGGCCCACTGGCAACCCCCAGATTCCCATCTCCTGGGGTTTACAAACAAAACTGTTTCACCCCCAGGGTCCCAAAACATATCAACCTGCAAGGTCCTCCACCTTCGGGCGGGATTGTCAGTCCATCAGTCCATCAGTTCAAGTCCATTGGCCTCTCCCTGCTTCAGCAACGGCCTGCTGCCTCAGGGGTCATTGGCTGGTCCTTTCCGGTGTCGTTGGCTGGTTCTCTCGGGTGTCTCCTTCACGCCAGGTCTCGTCCTGTAGCTCGTGGACGTTGTCCACCTTCTGTGCTGCCATGGCGCCTCCAGCGTCATCACAGTCAAAAATTCTGTTTTCCTTAGTCCCTCCAGGTCTTCGGAGGGCTCTAATACCCGTCTGCATGGATCTTGCCGACTTACGCCAATTGTAAGGGGCAGGACCTGGATACAGTGCAGGTTTTCCTGATCCCATGCAGACCGGGCAAAGGAGGAGTCAGAGTCCTCAGTGCTTTTTTGCAGGTCTTTTATTGGGGTTCACCAGGCATATGGCAGGCAGGGGTGCTGGCCTCCCAGCCCCCAGCAAGTCTTCACTCTATCTGGGCTCTCTGGCGTTGGTTCTGCTGCTTCTCGGCTTCTCTTTCGGCTTCGGCTTCTACTGCTGCTGCTGGCGTCCCCGTGACGCCACCCTTAAAAGCACAGTCTTAGCTCAGCTGAATCCCATCTACCTATGCCCACACCCTATTCCAGGTGCCCGCCATCAGGCATGCATTCAGGACAAGGATCCATCATCTATCCTGATGGCGGAAGGGCAGAAAAGCCTGATATTTTCTTTACCCTACAAATAGTAAGACAGTATGGGAGGGTTCTTTACCCTACAAATAGTAAGACAGTATGGGAGGGTGTGTGTAGGGTAAAGAAAATATCAGGCTTTTCTGCCCTTCCGCCATCAGGATAGATGAAGGATCCTTGTCCTGAATGCATGCCTGATGGCGGGCACCTGGAATAGGATGTGGGCATAGGTAGATGGGATTCAGCTGAGCTAAGACTGTGCTTTTTAAGGGCGGCATCACGGGGGGACGCCAGCAGCAGCAGCAGCAGCAGCAGCAGCAGCAGCAACACCTGAAGGAAAAGCCGAAGCAGAAGCAGAGAACGCCAGAGAGCCCAGATAGAGTGAAGACTTGCTGGGGGCTGGGAGGTCTGCCAGCCAGCACCCCTGCCTGCCATATGCCTGGTGAACACCAAATAAAAGACCTGCAAAACCACTGAGGACTCTGACTCCTCCTTTACCCGGTCTGCATGGGATCAGAAAACCTGCACTGTGCCCAGTCCTGCCCCTTACAATTGGCGTAAGTCGGCAAGATCCATGCAGACGGGTATTGGAGCCCTCCAAAGACCTGGAGGGACTAAGGAGTAAAAGACTGCCTGTGACGACGCTGGAGGCGCCATGGCGGTATAGAAGATAGATACGTCCACGAGCTACAGGATGAGACCTGGCGTGAAGGAGACGCCCGAAAGGACCAGCCAACGACACCGGAAAGGACCAGCCAACGACACCGGATAGGACCAGCCAACGACACCGGAAAGGACCAGCCAATGACCCCTGAGGCAGCAGGCCATTGCTGACGCAGGGAGAGGCCAATGGACTTGAACTGATGGACTGATGGACTAGGACCGACAATCCCGCCAGAAGGCGGAGGACCTTGGCAGGCTATGTTGTTTTTTGAGAATCTGGGGGTGGCCAGTGGGCCTAGATGGCCAAAAGCAGCCTGTTATGCCCAGCAGCCAGGTGGAGGAGAAAAGCCAACTAAGAAAGCAAAAGCTGGTACTGATGCTAAGTTGAGAAGCCCTAAGCAGCTGTTAAGCAGCCTGGGTATGCTGAAGAACTGTGAGTCTCGTAAAATCACCTGTGGGTGATGCCCTGCTCATTCTTGAGTGAGGGTGAGGAGCTGAGGAACCTGTCCTTGGGGGACGGATGGGGAACGTGGCTTGGGGTGGAGCCCAAGCCGAATGCAGAGTTTGGATCCCCGACCCATGTGCTTGTGCAGTGGGTTGGCTTGAGTGCAGGGGTCTGCGAGTCGCATGGGTGGCTGTGAAGGCCCAGGTGTTGAAGCGACTGCAGACAGAAACCCTGAGGGTTGGTGATTACCCCCAACAGAATAAAATTGCCAATCCCAGAGCTAGTGCATCCTGGGGGTGGATGCTGTGTGTGCCTTGTAGCTGAGACTACAGCCAGAGAAGGCCAGGAAGCCTGACGGCTCCTGGTGTGATATAGTGGATGCCGTGAGTGATTCCCCTCCCTCATATGAGCAGTGCCTTCGGCAGCAGATTTGGTGGCTCATCTGCTGGTACCAATAATTGTCTTTTGCACTAGGTTGGTGCCCTGCCTGGACTTATTTGTGTTCTGTTGTATTTTGTTATATGTGATGTATTTGCTTTTGTGGGCCATGGCTGCACTGTT